AAAAACCACCCTTCCGTGTCCTACCGTACCGGGGAGCCCCGAAACCAACACAAAAAGCAGCCGGCTTAGGGTTTAGGGTTCAGGGGTTTAGGGGTTTGGGGGTTTAGGGTTTAGGGTTTTAGGGGTTGGGGGTTTAGGGTTTAGGGTTTAAGGGGTTGAGGGGTTTCGACTCACAGACTCGCGCAGGGCAAGCATGGCTTCTGAAGGTTGAAGGGGTTTAGGGGTTGGGGGTTTGGGGGTTTAGGGTTTCAGGAGTTTTAGGTTTTAAGGGGCACGGGTTAAGGGCTTAGGGATGAGGGTTTTAAGGCCTCGGTGATCGCGCTCAGACAATCCATTCGAGGCGTGTGGGTCACGGGTCGATTTAGTGAGACGGACACATGCAGCAAACCTTCTCATAAACCCCTATAAGCCCTAAATAAACCCTATGAACCCAAAAAAACCCAAACCCTAAACCTAAAAAAATCCTAAACCCTAAACCCCAAAAAACCCTAAACCCTAAACCTAAAACATCCTACCCTAAGCCGCAATTGGGGTTCAGGGTCTATGGGCCTTAGCCCCAGCCATGAAACAGCCGCCCCCCAAAAGATGAAAAAAAGACGGAGGTCGCTGATTTCAGGTTTCTGCCATGGCGCCGTAACCCTGAACAGAAACGGTGCCCTCAGATCTTGGAGCGGTCTCAGGGGTTTAGGGTTTAGGGTTTTGGGTTTAGGGGCAGCCATCGCATTTCTTGGGGGGTCTCCTCAGATTCTGCATGGATAACCCGTGAAACCCGAAAGTTGTGCAATCGCTACAGACTGTCAACCCAGGGAGCATTTGTAGATGAATCCCTAAACCCTAAACCCTGAATCCCTCAACCATAATCCCAAACCCTAAACCCCTAAACCCTAAACCCTGAATCCTAGAGGTGTTCTTAAGCCCAGAATTTGGGTCAGCTTGCCCTTGAACCTTTAAGACACCAAGACAAGGCGAAGACCGTAAATCCACGAACCCTAAACCCTAAACCGTCTATGATGAAGGCTTGCAGTTCGGGGGCAAGGGGTTCAGGGTGTGGCCTAGGGCCTTGGGGAAGCTCCTGAGCCAAGTGTTTAGGGTTTAAGGCTTAGGGTTTTAGGGTTTTTTCTTTTTAACCGGACCTTTTTCCTCCCTGCAGAGAGAAAAGTCTGTGCGACCTAGGTTTTGGGTTTAGGGTTTAGGGTTTTAGTAGGGTTTTAGGGTTTAGGGTTTAGGGTTTTGGGGTTTAGGGTTTAGAAAAAAAGGGTTTAGGGTTCAGGATTTAAGGGTTTAGGGTTTTGGGTTTAGGGCTTTAGGCCCTTTAGGGTACTGGCAGCAGCCCGTGGTGACCCGGATGTCGTGCAGAACAACGTCTGAGTCAGGGGCGAGCGACGCAGGAGCGCAGCGGGCGAATTCGACCAACCCCCAGACAGCTCCTCGACATATTTTCCTTGCGAACTGCTTTGTGCCTGAGTTGCGCATTTTAAAGTCTTGAAGAGGAGTTAGTTGTCATAGGACCATGGGGCACCTATGTAAAAGCTAATGCGGGACCTTCTTTGAAAATCTCCCAGCACGGGTGAGAATGAACATGTAAATGCACCCCTGGCGAATTCCTGACCCACGAAAAAATCCACAATGGAGAGGCCCACCCCACACCCCCCGCAACAAAACACGAACACTGCCTGCACCCTAAACCGACCAGCAAAGAAACCTTTCACACTACAGGGGTGCCCTACAATAAAGCAGGTCCGACATTCTGAGGCATCCGAAAACCACCGAGGCACAAGACATCCACGAACTGCTCCGCATACCGCAAGATCGGCCCAGGTATGCACTCATGATGTTCATAGGTGTTCCTCTCGCACTTCCAAGGGCGCCTGCAGTTGTAAAGATCGGCCGGGCAGCAACTGCCGACATGCTTCCCCGCGAGGTCCACAACAGCTGCATCCGGAAACTCCTGCACCAGGAGATGCCGGCGGTTGTTCATGCGAAAGACATCACCGCCCCACGTATATTTCTGCTCGTTGAGGGTTCCAAGCACTATGATCTGAGGCCGCAGAATCCTGGCAAGACGGACAGGCGACCGCAGGTCATCGGCTCCATCAAAGGCTGGATCATTGGAGACCAGCAGCATCGTGATGTTGTGGATGATATTGTGCGCAAGAAAAGAATTGGCTTCCATATCCGGGTCAGGAAAGACGAAATCCCAATTGTGATTGCAGACAGCTGCTTCCAGCAACTCTGCCAACACCGAGTTTCCGACGGCAAAGATCTGCGTTCCTCTCGGCAACTGCATGATGTCATGGCTGGAGTTCCATGGTGACGTCTCCTTGAGAACCCTCAAATAGTCAGCTCCAACACAGCCATACAAGTCCCTAAGTGTGGCACATGGCGAGTGGCCCGCGAGTTCCACAACGGCATCCACGGCGGACCAGTTCCTGGGAATATCCACCTCGGACCGGCTCCTGTCCCTGAGCATGGGCTTCCATAGAATGGGTTTCCGGAAGGGCCTGGAATGGTTTCCGCTATTGAGTTCTGCCGCCCAGTTTTTCGGCGAGCCCCAGCCAAGTGCCTGAAGCAAGCTCCGCACGACTTCAGGCATTTCAAGCTTGGCATCACTGCTTGTGGTCTCGGGCGTAGGACGCATGCGGGGCTTCTGAGTCAACAGTCTGGCCTTGAACCGCAGCCGAAAGAAGTCGACCGCCAAGACCAGGCTCACAGTGCCTGCGAAGAAGGCCAGCGCAGGCAAGCCGTGCCTCCATACCATCAAGCACCCAAAGGGTCTAAGTACTTCTATGGTAGATCCTTTAAGGCCCAAAATATCTACTTAGACCCTTTGGGGCATAACAGAGCTAGCTCCAGGAGGCAAGCGGCTGCAGAGTTGCGATGGCAGAGATGAGTTCCACTGCCGAAAACCCTAAACCCTAAACCCTTCACAATCCATTCATTCTCGGGCAGCAGCAGCCTTCCAGCCCTAATCCAGCTAAACCCTAAGCCCTAAACC